TGTAGAAACATCTTTTGCTCGAACACGGCCCACCCTTCTCCTTCACCCTGCCTATGACTGCTGAATTTTCGCGTTTTTAAAACGGTTTTTAAAAGAGTTTTTTTCTTAAAACGGTTTTTAAAGAGTTTTTTTAAAACAAGGGATTCGCACCGGTAGTGAAATATGCTTCTTTTCGATTTGGCATAAGTATTCTAAAAATTCAAGCAGAAAGCGACGAGAGTAATATTTTATTTCTGAGGGATCAGCAACTGCCTCAACGAACACTGTCACATCTTCCTCACCTCTCACCTCGAAACCGTCAACGCATACTCCAACACGATTTCAGAAGAAATCTGAGGCAAGTTTCGATTATTTACCTGACCATTTTTTTACACGTAAGTTTCCCAAGAAGTTCAGTGCGATCATGGGGATTATCCATGGCGCAGAATACTTGATATGTTGTTCTTAAAATCCCACATAACGTCACTATTCAAACACTCAAACAACAGCACTAATGGATCTGTTCAAGAGACACGCGATCCCACTCCCCACGCTTTATCCTTCACTTGAACTCTATGCATTTATCTCTTTGTAGCTAGTAAGACGTTGTCGCTAGTAACGTTCATTCTTAGAAGGATAGCTGTGTATGGGCAAAACTTCGGTCCCGGACGGAACCCGTACTTACGTGCTTTCCAGGCACCGTGCTCTTAATCCCTTATACTACCGAGACTCGCTGGAGGATTCTAATTATTCATAGCTATGAACTCTTGACGCAGATGGGGTAGTGGCAAAATGTGTACTACCACGAGTATGATCCAAGGACCGAATCCCGAATTGTTACCCACTCAATTCGACCAGGTCTTCCAGGATCGGTAAGGTGGTGCCACACAGATCTAGAAGACATAGGAATTTCTTGTACATTGGCTGGCCACAGTAAAGCATTGCATGAACCCCTAGGCATACAAAACGCTACTAGGAATCCAAATGAAAGTCGAATGCAAGGCGCATCCCATTGACTGAGGGCCCAAAACTTCGGACCTTGGCAGCATAACTGATATAAGAAAATTCCGTGGGAAAGGAAAGATTTGCATCTAATAACGAAGGTTCGCTGGCTTCCGATCAATAGTCAGGGTCATAGCAGTTGAACGTTAAAATTAGATTTTAATGACGACCACAGAAAAGATCAACCAGAGCCACGAGCTTTTTGTCAATGGATACATTTTGAAATACACCACTTGTCTGAGACTACCTGAGAATGAGGGGAACAGCTGAGATTATTGGCTCATGCAAAGGTACATAACAACAAGCTCGTAATGATTAGAGCCGAGACTGATTCGAGCGCCTTTATCCACCTCGCCACGTCTTCGTTTTACCTATTTCTATGAAAACAAATATCCGAAACGGATCTCGCTGTCATAGTAGCTTCCAGCGATTTTGTAAAATTTGGCAATTTTTGATGGTGCTATTCTTTTATGTTCCGTCTAGATGAGATATTCACTGCAGCCTTCGCAGATGTACTATGGATGTACACAAGATTTACCTAAGAGTTCAGGCAAAACGACGACTCTCCAATGTCAAAACGTCGACGACATCGATAAACAGTCAGGAAGGTTTTGCAGAGGCGCAACCATTGAAAAGAAGTGAGTTGATACCTTTCATTGTATCTTAGTTCAGCGCTTCGTTGACTGGCGTAACTCGTCCATCCTGAGGCAGTGTTGGACTCTGTTATTGAATGGGTATATAGTGATGCAGTGGGGGAGATGCTAAGGATCTGATGGGTGTTTCGAAGAGTTCTCTTTCAATATACTTAGGTCAGTTTTTTTTGGCTAACCTATCGGGAAGGGTTTTCAGATTTCAAAGAGTATTTAGTGGAAAGTTATAAATCATAATGATTCTCGACTATCAAGTTTTTTCAAATGAAATGAAAAATTCAGGAAACGAGGCATCTTGAATATATCATTTCCTTCCTTCTGAATTTGGAAAGTCCTTTTCTAATCTTCATCATGAAGTCTATAAGCTATTAGGGCACAGGGAAGGAAGTAAAGCGGGTGTGGAGGTATGGTGAAGGGAGGGTCAGGTAGGGGGTATCGGTCTATCGGTTTATTTCGTTTCAGTCAGAGAACTTACACTATCGCGGAACAAGTGCATGGCAGCTAAAGAATGTTGGCGATTGCTCAACAATCTCCTTTTTTCTCCAGATGCGCCATGCGTTGAACTTCCATTCACTATTCTGCACTCGCTTCGAAGCGTTCTCATTCCGTACGACTGAGATCGGCATACAAGGCCATCATCAAGGGTTCTAAAACTTATTTTACTTGAGTTCTAGTCTGTCAATCAATTGGATATTACCAGCGAAGAGAGACATGATCCGTTCTAACCGGCACACCCATTCACGCTCACAAACTCACAAAGTGACTACCGCTAGAGTGACTTGATTGTACCAGTTCCGATCCTTTTTTTGCTCCAACAATTTTCGTCATGAACTTTCCACTCGAAAAAGCTTTGGAGCAATTTTCGGTATTGCCGGTTCTGCCACCAAACCTTTTTTTTTGCTGACGCGGAAAGTTACCGTGGTTGTTTTTTTCCCAGAAAATCTATAATCGGATTTCTATCCGAGTGATTCATAACTAATTCATAATTCATGAATTGTATTGGGAATACAAAAGAAAACTCGTCTCCTAACCGTACATCCGTGCAAAGTGCAAACATTCATTCTATTTTTTTATTCCTTTTTTACGATCATATCGACTGCCATACAACGTGTTTCCTCCATATCTAGCAAAAGCGGAAGGCCTTTCGATGACAGTCGATTTACAATTTGGTTAACATTGAGACTTGGATTTTTTGGCTTTTTTCGATTTTAATTTCTTTTGATCGCATAATCTCGGAGTATTTGTGAAGACTGGTAATTAATCCATCAGTTGGATACGTACTTACGAGTTCATTCAGTCATTTGTCAGATTCGTTCTCTCTCTGCTGCTGAACAAGAGCTTCCAGATGTTAACGAGATGTCCTTTATGCTTTGTTTTTTCTTCAATCTTCTAGATTTCGTGATATTCTTCTAATTTCCTCTCATGAGCTGATTTGAGCAGTCCTGTGGATAAGTATCATTCCCGATTGACGGGAGAGTTGTGCAACCCTCATCTTTTGCTTCAGAGTACCGAGTCACAGTAACTTTACTCTTGAAAATCCGGCGCTGGTACTGGAAAAGTTTCTTTCTCATTTCTCGCATATCGTTGTCCTGCTCGTTTTGTTGAAATCCTTTATCAGTTACGTTATTTCATGAGTATCAACTGCCAGCTGTACTGGAACAGTGCCTTTTGATCCTATCCCAGTATTGTGTGGTCGTGTCAGTTTGAAACTTTGGATAAGTTGCCGGTAGCTATAGCTAAGAATTTGGGGAGTAGAAGATAGGCGAAGAGGGGAGAGGACGCGGTCCATTTCGAATGCGCCCCTACATCTGACTTCCACTCTGAATCGTGGAGGCATTCGATGGCGGATAGTGTATAATGACGAGCGGAGGCCAGCCAATGGTACATTCCAGTGCTATTTCCCTTTCATTCAAGACTGGTATCATTTAAATGTTTTGCAAGAGATGGAGTACTTGTCTAGTCCAGGCTGGTATCATTGTTCCCGAACCCAACCACATGTGCTGACCTTTTGCTCGACCCCCGTCCAGCACTTTCCACAATTTTTCAAGAAAACAAGCTGTTTGTTTCCTTGATATCTCAAATGTCATTCAGTTCAGTAAAGCATGACAGATTTCCCAACCAAAGTTCACATTGTCTGGAAGTAGTGCTTTTGGGAGGGAGGATACACGGAGAGGTATGACGTGGATGAGAGGAACGAATGGTATTAGATGCTACTCTGCGCACTCTTTTTTTGCATAGAGTAGTTCTTGTAGATATAATAATATAATATGATATAAATACTATAGCGTTCTCTTTTATTCAGTTTTTTCTGTTGTACTAGACTTCCAATTTTCATATTTTCTGATACTAGAGGGGGTGGTGAGGTGGCAAGTGGCGCATGGCCTCGGGTTCGGATCCTGTATCGGAATCTGAATAGGACAACCAGTCGACTGGAGGGGGTGGTGTGGTAGCAAGTAGCGCATGGCCACGGGTTCGGATCCTATATCGAAATCTGAATGAATAGGACAACCAAGCTTTCCATCTCTTCGTGGCCTTTTGACTGGCACCAGACTCGTCTGGGAAGATCGGCAAGCCAGTGGGAATCGAATGCACGTGCGCATACCAGAATGGTATGGATTAACAACACAAACCCCATCCTTTATCCTTAATTTACAATATTTATGCAGAATGCTTTCTATTTTGATTTGAGTGCTATTTTGTTTACACAAAATATTTAAACAAGATGAAGGAAATGTACAGAATGTTGGGAATGTTTGTTTTGTGTTGGAAGAGAACGGAATGTTTTGACAGAGAAGGAAAAACCAGATAACCAAAGAGTTGAGCTGCTTCCATAATGACTGATTTTACACCAGTTAATCTGAGCATTCCCACATAACTCACCACCCTTGTGGGGAGTTATACATATTGCCTGCTGCGTCCAAATACAGCAGTAGCACCAACAATAACAACAGCAACGACTTTCAGCGCTAAACCCCAACAAAGTCTGCTGGTTGCTTTATTTTGATGTCATCCTTATAAGTGTGGCGGAGGTGGTGTAGTGGAAAGTGGCGCCCTATATCACACGCACGGTCAGTGGTTCGAATCTCGGATCGATGCCCGCCTAAGCCAACCAAGCCTTCCATCCCTCCGGGGTCGGTGAATTGGTACCAGCGTCTGAGAGGATAAAAGCACTGACTTGTACATCGGCTGGCCACCGCAAGTCATTGTATAGGCGACATACCCGTTCAATACGCCGCTACGATTCTGAATGGAAGTCGAGTGCGGGGGCGCATCCCTCAGACGGGATTGATTAACGCCAAAAAATGTATCCTTTATCCTTTATCCTTATAAGTGTGAGCGTAGGTGGTGTAGTGTCAAGTCACCCACTATTTCACACATATGTCCACGAGTTCGAATCCCGTATCGGCATCCGCACAGGTCAATCAAGCTATCCATTTCTCCGGGGTTGGTTCATTGGTGCGAGGTCCATCTGAGAGGATAAAAGCACTGACTTGTACATCGGCTGGCCACCGCAATTCATTGTATAAGCGACATACCCGTTCAATACGCCGCTACGATTCTGAATGGCAGTCGAATGCTGGGCCCATCTATCAGATGGGGTTGATTAACTCCTTGTTCCCTAAGACTTTACCCTTACGATTACTTATTGTTTCATGAAACAAATTATTATTACAAATTCGAAACACATTTTGCTTCTGCACAAAGTCGAGCAACACAAATAGTAGATAATAAAAACTAAGCGTTCATCGTTCTATGATCAGTACTGTAAGAAAGCGACATGCCGTAACCTCCACTGTATGCATTGTATCCATCAAATTGTCGTAATTGAAATACCATCTACTCACATATGATTGCATGGGAATCCATGTTTCTGTAAGAGGGAAAATTTGTTTTCGACAGACAGCACTGGTAGTGGTGAGAACTTTTTAACAATGAGTACGGTAATCTAAGTGTCAGTCACAGATGGAATGACATATACTATGCGCAATAGTTCGCCACCGACGGGAACACTTACGCAATCCCGCGGATTCAGGCCCTCATTTTAATCGTGGATTTCGGTGGTGCTTGATGAGGTTGCGGACAAAAAAAAGTGGTGGTTGGATGAGTTTGCGATCGGTAACCCATTGATCCAGCGAATAATCCGTTTCCTTTGCTAATATTACTCTCTCTATCTCTATCTCTCGGCTTTAGATTCGATTTCAAGCGTTTATAACCATGTTGATAGTAAAGGATGAAGGATGGATGAAGTCCTTCGGCGCTGATAGGTCCCCGCTCGAGATGCCCCNCTCCCCCTGCCTTCCATTGAGGATCGTAATAGCGGTTTGAATGCGTATGTAGTCTATACGTTGAGCTGCGGTGGCTAGCCAATTCCCAGGCTAGAGCTTCCATTCTCCCGCAGAAGTTCGCCACCATTTAATAGACCCCGAAGAGAAGGTGAACTTGATTGACTTAGGCGGATATCGATCCGGGACGAGCACAGATCACGCGTGTGTTATAGTGCGATGCTTGGACTCTAGACCACCTACGCCGATGTGGATTATAGGGACGTTTCCGACACAACAACCTTCGCATATTGTGTCTTTTAGCGCCTGTACATGGTTAAATAGTTCTGCTGCGATACGCGCCGCTAAGGCAAATGGGTACGATGAGACTTATGATGAAACGCTGAAAAAAGAAGCGTAAGAGAGAAGCTGGCAAAAGTAGCATGATCTATTGAACGCGTTTTCGACTACTCAAAATCAGAGGACGGACCAGATTCATACAATGGATCTCTCACGAAGCATAACGTGCTCCTGGCAAATTAGGACCACTTTTTGGAACGAAACTCTAATGGTGGTCATGATTGCCGATTGCAATAATTGAAGTTCTATTTGTGGTTTTACGCACCCATCAGAGTCCGTAATGTCTGCGTCATTCAGCATTATTGGTATCGTGCCGCCAACGTGCAAGTGGCAGTAATCTGACCAGTCTGTGCTGCTCCACGTGTAGAAGGTGCTCTATGCACCCCATGCTCAGTAAGGTGCACCTATAATAGCCTCTCAGTACACATCTCCCAAGAGAAGAGGAGAGTGAGTTCAGCTTTCTGTTCTGAAGGAGTTTTCGGAGCCTTGGTATCGATCGTTGGTTTAGTTCTTGAAATTCCACCATGAAACGACAAAGGCGACCGGTTGGACTGCACAAGAAGTTCTGAGGAATGCTGGTCTCTATGGCCAGACTTTTTTGACCCCAGAACTGCAGAAGCGAGCATGTCAATCCAGCTCGGACCTCGATTTAGCACAACGCTTCCTCCAATTTTAGTCGTTAATCGAAAATGGCTCCGAATATAACTGTGCCGGAATGATTTTTTACTCTTTCACTGACTGTCGAGTTAATAGCGTCGTAAAAATCGTATTGGCAGGGCTAGTTAGAGGGGGTGGCAAAGCTGAATTGGCTGGAATGGAATCCGATTCGACGACCTGTGTTGCACTTCGTCCTATTGCACTTTTCACCACCATCATTACATGCTCTCGACATCATTTCATCGATTTTCAACCTTTGCAATTTTGCAACCCCCTTTTGAACAGAATGCGAAAATTATAGACTTTTTACATCGGGTAAATGAATGGTATTTCAGCGAACTCGTCGTCATCTTTACACTGGAGCGCGGACATGGCCGAGCAGGCTTCGCTGTCACTTCAGGTTAGTCTCTGTTTTACTGATGATAATACTGATGATAATAGTGATGGTATTGCGGCTTTGCAATAAGTAAATGATGGGAATTGGTCTCCTTCCCC